TTACATTTTAGTAAACCTCTTGCCTTTCATTATGGGAGACCAACATAAAAATAATATTTTCAATATGCTGTTTTTATTTATCTACATTCTGTCATGATATACTTTGATGTAAGTTTTTAATTTTGCTTCAGCTTTCAGCTGTTGTAGCAGTTACTGCTCAAGGTCAGCAATGAGGTTAGCCACAGTAGCACAAAACAATTTCCTGTTCTCACAGCCCAGGTAGCATTTGGATGTGGATTAAATTTTACCACATTTTCCAGTAGCCAGACACGATTATTTCTAATGAGCTTTAAATTGCTTCTAGAACATGTATTTCAGAACTTAGCGTGGTAATCCATTCAGTGCTAGCAACTTCATAAGGTAGCAGTTCTTCTTCAAAATTTTGCTTAAACTGATCGGTGCTGCATAACAGGTATTTTTAATCAGGAGATTTGCTTAAAAGTGAAGTGCTCACTGTTCTCAGTGGCTGTTCCTCTGCTGTCCTCCCTTCTGCAGTACTAGTCCCATAATATATTGCTCTTCATTACCGACTCAGATTTCATAATCCGTTTCTTTTGGCAAATTTATCTTGGCAGTATTCATGCTTGTTGTGCTGATTTGAGAGGTTTTATGCATGTTTTGTTGTTGTGGAAGCTTTAACAAATTAGTTTTTGAAGCTTGCTCTCATCTTTGTGATTAATGTTTTCCTTTAGTTTTCTTTATGTGGCCACTTCTTTATACTGCCCTAGCATTCTGAATGCCTGGGAAGCATCCATTCAAAACCCATCTTTATGGGACAGTAATGAATAATAGTATGAAAGGGGAAAAGGCAAAACAACGCCTTTCCCCTATAAATATGGTAAGTTTTCACATCCTTTATTTAGTCTTACCAAAGTGTTGTGTGGTTTGTTTGTTTTTTTTAACTTAATCCAATTCACACTATAAAACATTATTTAGTTGTATTATTACAAATACTGCTTATTGGACTGAATTCTAGAACAAACCCTGCTTAAATGGAACTCAGCCATAAGGAAATCATATCTGTATTATAGCTCCTACTGTAAAAGCAATTAAGCAAGAGAACTGAAAGGGAAGCTGCCTGTCCTGACATGCTCCCACATCTAGGAGGGAGTGAGGGAATGAGCTGTGCAAAGAGCTCTGGTGCATATTGCCTGTGGGATTCTGAGGCATGGTGATGTTATCTTCGGTCAGAGCATCCCAAGATGTTGTTTTAGCTGCCTTTGTATTCCTTCTATGCATGCACTCCCTTTTTCCTACAGCTCCTTTGTTTATTTACTGAGGATTCTTTCAGTAATGTGTAAATTATCAGCCAAATTGAAACCCTTATTTCCTACCTGCCAGTTTTACCCAATATCTTTAAAAATCCTTGTCTCATTCCTGCAAGAATTTAGTATCACCTCATAGGCTGAAATAGTTTATAATTTTTTGTCAGTGACATATTGCTGTCAAATGCTGGACAAAAGGTTAAATTAGAAGAGATTCATAATAATTCTGAAAGTTGGGTATTTTTTAAGACTCTGTAAATTCAGTTTCTCCTATATAAAAAAGAATTTGCTGTAATTTGGACTTACTTGGTTTTAATACTCAGTCAGAACACTGAAATTTCACTGATTAATCTCTGCAGAGATCTACATTTTGACAGGTGCCATGAATTTCAAATACAATTTAAAAGTTGTGCATATCAAAGGTCGTTTTTATGTTGATTTAGTTTAAGTCATTTCTTTTAACAATAGGAGTTTATAAAATTGTACTCCAGTCCTCCACTACAAGGATTATAAATGTAAACGTATCCTCAGTAGCTGAGGAGTTGTTCTTGACCTGATTCCAAGTACCTCCGTAAATTAGTTTATGTTCAGTAGTGTCTATGGTGCGTGAAAATATTCCCCTGAAGCTCCTGCTAAATGTTACAAGTAGACCATTCTTCCTTTTTATCTGGTCAGGCATAGCACCGTACTTCATATTTTTTTCAATAACTAATGCTAAAACACTAGTCTTTGCAGCACAGGATCCATTGACTCACAGGCTGATGGCTTGGGGCACTGGTAACAGGGACCGTGAGGTCTTTCACCTCTGCTGCTAATTTGAAATCAGCTGTTCCTACTCTTAGGCCCTTTTAAAATCAGTCCATGAACACAGAACAGTTCTCTGTGGACTCTGTCCACTTGCACAAAACAGCTTTTAATCTTGGACTAGTCGCAAATTCTTCTCGATGTTTTCATTAGAGGGGATGGGCACTGAATTCCTCCCTGCCATGGCTCCCCAGGGTGAGGCAGTGTGAGGGGCTGGAGTTTGTGCCTTCCTAAATTGAATGGATTATGCTGAGAAATGGATTTAAGATTATAATTATAAGGTGATTTTTTTCTGGTCAAGTAATAAAACTGCTAGAAGATCAGCAGTAGAGTGTAACTCCTAGAATTCATCTTCCCAGGCTCAGGGATTCCTAGTTTTTTTCAACTTCTTTTCTCATCATTCTATTTTTTCCATTGGCTTCCAATTAATTTCCATATTAAGTACATAATTGCCTTGTTGACAACTACTAAGCTCTTTCCATCTGTTGTTGCATATTACACTGAAGGAGCTGTGATTTCATGGTGTCGTGCTTGGAGAGCACAGCTATTAACTCTGGGCTGGTACCTTCTTGGATGGAGAACTTCTGCGCTTTGGTGTTACTAAAGTAAAGCTTTTCAACACAAAGTTTAATAGTGAAGGAAACCAAATAAGGAAGCTTACAGCATGCTTACTTTTTTGACTTTTGCCACAATAATTGTACACTATTTATATGTAGTGGCTTTCAAAAATAGTGTGTACCTTTCCACTTCATCTCACAGCCCGATTGATTCATTGGTTGATTTTATAGAATCTGAAATTCACTGATATTCTCAGTAACTAGACTAGGTTGTGTCAAAAAGAGTAATACTAATTAAGATGACCTGGCTGGGATATCTTAAACTGGGCACTTGTAGGAAGCTAAATGGATTTTATTTTCATTTTATTTAAGTGTAATCAGTAATGTAAAGTATTACAATAAGTGAATATTCAAGTACACTACAAGACATTCTTTCCTGCTGTGTCCTATTTTTCAAAAGGGATCATTTGGATACATGTCACTTGTAGCATAACAGAGATTTAACACCATCTGGAAGGAATTTCTATCTGGTAGCAGTCACTGGAATTGCAGCTTCGTCCCCACTTGCATCATATTCATGTCCGTAACTTTCAGGGTACTAGAGACACTTATCCACGACCATTGAAAGTATCAAAAACAGTTTGTATTTTCATGCATAAATATTAATTGTTTTTAAATTGAGACCTCAATTTTGATTGCAAGTGACCATCTTTCCTAGCAAAATATTTGATTCTTCTCCTACCTTCCATAATTCTGTAATGCCATTCCTACTTCTTCGACACCCCAGCTACTACTTCAAAGTAATCCCCGATTGTACTCCCAGTCTCTTAAGTTGATCTTCCTTCACAACCTGATGGATAAAATGCTTTGTACTTGCTGAAGTGGTGAAGAACATTAATGTTTTAAATGGTATCATGTTACTTTCTCTTCCTATTTGCATGAACAATAGCAAACACACGGTGCTTTGATGTGCTGTGTTTAGAAACAAGATTTCTCCCCTCATTTTTCTCATTACATGAGGTAAATTTCTAATTGGCACTAATGAATAATATTAAGAAAAATATTTAAAATAAGGCAGGTAAGTGGAGGTGAAAATCAGTATGGGTATCTATGGGGAGAGGCAGTTCAGTATCAAGCCTTAGTATGGATTAACAGTGCTGTGCAACCTGAGATGTGCATTGTGTGATGTCAGGCAAGTTTTCAGGGGTGTATTTGATTTGCCTATGACAGAAGCAAAACTGAGTCACCACCAATACCTCCCTCATCTGGCAGTGTTTGGAATTCTGAACCATTAATGGTGCAGGTCACCTGTGTGCTGCTTGTTCTGAGGTGCCCTAATAGCCGTGACAGCTAGGGCAGATGCTGAAAGCAGGTGAGTTGAGCATCTGATCTGCCAAGTTGTATGCATTCATTTGTAGGAATGCTTTTAAAACTGCAAGGTTTTGTGTTATTTTCAACTGGTTAAAATTAACTAGAATCATCTCCTATTGAGTAGCAACGGAGTGAAGACACCAGGTTGGGGTTTTTTGCCTGCCAGGCTTGTCAAGGTTAACATCAGATGGGGTCAACCTAGCAAGACTATTTAATGATAGAACTGAAACACTTAATCTTTGCTGTGTTTATTCTACTATTGCAGCTCTGCTTCATTAATTTCCTAATGTTTTTTAAAATAATAATGCATTTTTGTCATGAACACAACCTAACTCTGGGGTGCTGTGAAGATAAGTATTAAATTGTTACAAGATCCTTTAAAAAAAACTTGGTAATGAGGCCTTGTACAGAGGATTGCAGCGGGATCTGCTGCGCTGCTGCAGAGTGGATCCAAAAGTCACTATTGCCTGGTAATAGCAACAGCAAATATTTACAGTTAGCTGTTATTTTTACAGTATAAACATGGATTTTAATTAAAAAATCATTCCCATCTGTGACTGGTAAAATAGAGGCTTTTGTAATGGACATATTTGTTTTCTGAGGGATATATTTAGTGTGTGTATACATCAGCAACTATCCCAAGAGACCATCATGCTAATGGATCAAAACCAGGCTTTGCTGCAGCATGAAAAACTATAAAACCATGTGTTGCAACTCTGTTCAGATTAAGGAATTCATGCTGATAGACTCAGTCACGGTCTGGATGTAAATCAACGATGGCAATTCCACCGCTTATATTTTAATTTTTGCATACTAATTCCTTGGTGGCTTTTAAGCTCTAGTCACGCTTATTTAAGAGATCTTTTACGCCAAATGCAGAAACCAATATACTTCTGAATGGTAATGAAAATAAAGACAAAAAATGAGTTTAGATAGTGCCATCAAAATATTTTATATTTGCAGCTGCTTATTTAAGTTTCTCTCTTTCTTTTTATGAAAACAGGTAATCAGATCCTCTCTCTTGGGACTTTGTCAAAAGATCAGGTTTATCCGTTGAAACTCAAGGGCATTTCCATCTGTTACTCTGCACTCAAATCTGCCTTATGTGGAAATTATGTCAGCTTTGGCGTCTTCAAGTTGTACGGGGACAACCACTTTGACAATGTACTTCAGGCCTTTGTCAAAATGCTGCTTTCAGTATCCCACAGTGACTTGCTAGTAAGCAATTACTCATCTTGGGAGTCTTTACGTAAAATATGAAATAACACCACCACAGGCTTTGTATTGTTATAATGAGACAGAGGGATCTAGAACAGCTCAAATGCAGTTTTCAGTTCAATTACTTGGATCTATTTATATAGCGACATCCAAAATACAGGTGTGATAGAACTGCCGTATGAAATTGGAGCTTTTCCAGAATTTTCGTTAAGCTTTTATTGAAAAAAGAGAAATGTAAAATTTTGTTCCTTTCTATACTTCAAAACCTATTTAGGTTGCCTGCCTGCATTGCAACACGTCCTCACGTATTCAGCCACTCTGCAATTAGTTTCAATCTGTAAATTGTCACCATGTATTTTCCATAGAATTGAAAACTTTAAAGTACACAATGTTCCCACATCTCTGTGGGAAGACAGCAGATCTTGTGCAATATCAGCCTTAATTTGAATTGAGGCATTTTTGTTCAGAACTGTCATTTTCTTGCAGGAAGGGACAAATTCTGGATAGTTAATATCCAAACTTGCGCCTGTCACAAAAAGTCCTTAGAACTGGAAAAGTTTCTCTCAGTAAAAAACAGTTTTTTGGTTGTATAGTAAAGACTACATATTTGGCACGTTCCTAGCCATCCAAAAATACATTCTTTTAAATAAGGGTCCCTAAGAGTAAGTTACCTACTGCCAGTCAGGCAAGTGCCTTTTCCTCTGCAAAGCCTGTTACAGGAAATAATTTAAGCACAAAATGTGCATCTCTGAGATGATTTGGGGAAATCTGTGATAAACCTCGGTCAAATTTCCTGCAGAAAGTAAGATACAGGCACCAATGCTGTCTAACTGACCTTCTAAACAGGGTGTTACACTACTTTTACTAGACTGAATGCTGTGTAGAGTGTCAAAGTATGACAGTATTATCCAGAACTTGTTTTAAACTAATAGAGTTTATATCCTATGGTAAATTTGAAAAGTTAAAAACTACCATAGACAAGAAAACATCTTGTTTCTCTGAATGTTCTGATTTAATGGCTAAATTAGAATTTATCACATCATAAAAATACGATCATCTTCTGTCATCTGTTAATGTCATTAACATCAGTTAATCATAATATCCATATCAATGTATATCTTTTTTTTTTTCTTTCCCCCAGCAATATCGAAAACTAAGCCAGTCTTATTACCCACTTTTGGAATGTGTGACCCAGGATCACATGAGTTTCATTACCAGCTTAGAGCCTCGTGTCCTTATCTATATCCTTACGTCAATATCTGAAGGACTTACTGCAATAGGTAAGCATTTCTTGCATACAGCTGAAAAAGGAATTGAAGGAATACGCAGTTGAAGTTTATTTGTAATTTTTAAAGTAAATGGGGAGATTTTCAAAGAAGCTCAGACCTTACTAGGACACTCATTCATACTTTAAAAAATGAAAATCAAGTGACAGTGGAAGATGCTGGATTTTGAACATGTTAAGACTCTTCAGTTAACGGAGCTAAGTTCTTCTGAACATCTAACCTGTAGGTTTGTGCAGGTAGTATTTTAATTGAAATGATCTTTTCTTATAAACCAGAACTAGTAAAATTATTCATTTGCCTCCATTAGAATTGTACTGGAAATTCATGCATTTGTTCCTCAGAAGTAAAATATATCAGTATGTCTACAGGAATCTGCCAGGTTTTGTTTTATTTGCTCGACATAGCTGTTGTATACATGCTTATTCTGCACAGCTGTGATATGATTGGAGAAATTTCAGGATGCCCTTATAAGTAGAAAAAAAAACAGATTTTTAATTCTTCAGTACTTCCTGAATGCAATTCAGAGTGGAATCAGTGTAACAGAAGCATACCTGGAGTAACAATAAAAATGTGGCGCTTTGACTGTAGTTCATTTTATTCTCTTGCACAATTTAATATACAATTTTTAACCAGATGACTGTTTAAACATTTGGGGGGGTTGATGGGTTTTCTTTTTTGATAGCTTAAATTCATTTGGAATATGGAAGAGGAGACAGGGCATTTGGGAGAAAAAAAAAAAAAAAACATGCAGTTGTATCCTGGTGACCTTGGAATACCATGCAGTTATATGGTTTTCGACTGAGAAGCTGTTTAAAACCCTACAGTAGTATGTATTGATTAGGGTGGTTATTAAGGAAAAAAAATAGGAATGTATAACATTAGTGTGTATGGATGTTATTCCATAATAGCTGGTGTTTCTCATTACTGCCAAGTGTCAGTCAAGCCCCACAGGAATGCACGAATGCACCAAGGTTCGCAAAGCATTTGCTATGTTAAACACATTCAGCAGTTTTTGCTGCAAGACGGAAACTGCTCTTAGAAAGAAAATGGGTAGTAAATAGCTAAGCAACAGTAGTAAAGTAGTATTCAGGTCACTTTATTATATAATGCTGAAATCCATCTTCTCCCAGATATTTTGAGTGCTTTGTCACCTGTAATGATGGTACAGCAGTTTCTGCCTATCGGCTAGCTCTGCTGCGAGCCTGCCTGTTGATTGTTTGCAAATGGATATGTTGTACTCAGTGCTGGCTTGACTGACAGCTGCTAGTTTAGTAAGCTCTGTTCCTGATCTCTGGTATTATTCCACATTACGTCTCTTCCATTTGAGGTATTGGATATATTCATTTTAATAATTCACTAGCATACCAAGTTTACTTAAACCATCTCTTAGAAACACAATTTGAATTCATGTAAAAGAGAGAGAAGAAAATTTAAAAGCTATATAAGCTTCAGCTTGCATGTGTTGTTTATTTTCCCCTCTCAAAAAGTGTTGAGGAGTAAGAAAAGTGTGTATTTCCAATTGTAGTTTACAAGTCGTGTGTTTTAGGTATCTGGGAGCTGTGTCATGAGGAATTACTAGATTTTGGGAAATCAAATGTTTTCTTGGGAGACTTCTTTTTGGTGAAATTCCTGATTTTCTAATGAGAAGAGTATCAACAAAAAAATAATTCACTTTTTTCACTTTTTATAAACCATAAACTTGCTTAGCCAATAGGATTTTTTCATCTTAAGTACCTAAAAACAAGTGCAAATGTACAAGACCAAAATAAAGTGTTTAAGACTTTTTTTTAACTTCACTGACAGCTTGATGCAGTCCATCAAAAGCTATTACATTTACTTTTTCTTTTTTTTTTCTACATTTACTCTCATTCCTCCAAAGTCATTTTTAAGTCTTTGATTGAAACTTGTGAGATCTGTCTAAGACCAGGCCATTTCCGCATTGTCCAGAGAGGATGTGGAAAATCCATCCTTGAAAATATTCCAAGATAATAAGCAGGGCCCTGAGCAACCTGTGTGATGTTGACCCTGTTTTGAGCAGGAGCTTGGACTGGAGGGTTGGTTCTGTTTGGTTTCTGCCACCACCTGTAGGATCCCACTGGTAATTTCCCTAGATTTTCTACTTTCATTCTCTAGCTTTCTAAAATATTTTTTCCTGTCTAAATGCCTATGCAGCCCTTAATCTCTGTGAACATTTCTTGCACATTAAAAGTAATAAGTATTTACGGTAGTTGGTCAGCTAGAAAATGCTTCTTTTTATTTTTATTTTTACTTTTTATGTTGAAGTGATAGTGAAAGTTTTTCCTCAATACCACGTTTCTTAATTCTGCAGATACCAAAAAATGATATTGATGTAGGCCTTTATATTCCTCATCTATGTTCTAGAAGTTTTATTTATATATTAAATAATTTTCCACGCTCTTATAATGCCATGTCCAGATGAACTACTTTTTGCTGAGTTTGTAGCCCTTACCTTACAGGTCTTTTTTAATCATCTCTGGAGTTCGTTACCTCTCAGTGCATTTTCTTAAACTGCTTCTTCTAAATCTTTCATCCCTTCTAAAGTTTTGGTATTTGGGCATTACCAATTGTCAGGCAGTGAAATAAAATTTTGTTTCTTCTGTGTTAGTTGGTCACATGCATCCTTCTGCCCTTAGTAAACGGGTAAGTATACCCAAGTGTTGCCTCTTTCACTGAATTACATCAGTGCCACAAGAACACTGTCAGAATAATAGGGCTCAGGGCTGTGAACCATCTGAGGGGGAATTGTGTTTTAAACTGATTAGAACATATAAGTCATTTTCCGAAATGTTTATAAAAATGAAATAGCTGGCTTTTTATTTTAAAAATTAAATACTGGGAGATCGCTTCTGTTTGACAGAAAGAAAAGCATCTGGTTTTTCTCTATTCCCTTCACGTGTGAAACATTTGAGATTTTCATTGTTGTCAGCTGTAGGATAAACATTCCCCAAATCCTTATTTCTTAGGAGTGTTCATTCTGAGTAAATACCTTGCTTGATTCCACACTTTATAAATACCGTGGAAGAATATGTATTCCTTTGGAAGCCCCTAGCTGTAAATCAGCTGTAATGGAAGCCCTCATCTAAGCTTTTATTGTGAGGATAAACACTCCAATAGTTCTCTTCTAAAGTGTTTACCTGGCTTTTTCACAGCTGACTCAGTGGATCAGAGCCTTTTAATGTAGTCTGCCTGGCATGTTGTCACTAATCTCTGCAAAGCTTTTCTAATTCTCATATGATTAATAGTGTACTATGCTATTCATTGAGGAAAAAGTAAAACATTTTTTCTGTCTTGCTGCCTAATTTAGATGTTAAATTGCTAAATCGTTTTACTTTCTAGGTTTGGTCTCAAAGGCAAATAATGTCGGTATTGAACTGTAAGCGATTGATGGACAGGGAAAATACCACTTAACTCCCTCTCCTTACCTTTATGTGGAAAACAAAACAAAATCTTTTAATTTGCAGAGATTCAGGAAGGTCATTAAACCGTTCAGAAATAATTCCCATTCAGCATGCTGTTGTCATACTGTTTAGACCAAAAGTTGTTTGGTTTCTTTGTTTTTTTTTGTAATAATATCTCATGTACAAGCTCTACTGCCACTTATTTGAGCTAACGGCTAATTGGAATCGCATATGTGGAGATGGGAAAAAAAAGTTCAGGTAAAGTCAGCACCAAACACGTTAAATGAATGCATGCTGGCAGAGAAGAAATGAAAGAACTAAAAGAGGCAGCTGAACATGATGGTGACTGGCACCAGGGTCATTGCCCTTGTCCCCTCCCCGCCACCAGCACCTATGGGAGCTCAGTTCTGATGGGCAGAGCTGCGGACCTGCTGCTGGATCCCTGCTGCTGGATCCCTGCTGCTGGATCCCTGCTGCTGGATCCCTGCTGCCCACCCGGAGCTGCTCCTGGCCTCTGCCGCAGCACGGCCTGCTTGCTTCACAGTCCAGAGGATTAGTTCACAGGTGGTGGAGCTGAGCTGACCAGAAATGAGAAGTGTGGTTTGACTGCATTTTTCCTGATTATCCCGAGCTTTTACCTCCGTGTCTTTTATTATTCTATCTTATGTCTTCTCCATCCATTTCTTCTGTTCACAGCCCAGAAATGGTAGCTCCTTGTTGCACTTGTTTGTTCTATTTATTTGGTTGCCTGGCTTGTCTCACTAAGATTTAGTGAGCACGCTAGCCTGCTCCAGCATGAGGTTCCTCATGCCCAGAAGAGTCATTCAAGGGAGTTTGCTTGACGCTCCCTGTCTGTTATATCCTTGCAATCAAAAGGAAAAATGAGCATAGGGAAGCATATTTGATATATAGTTATGGGCAAATTTAAGTAGCTCTTAACACTCATATCAGATTCTCATGAGCAAATGATAGCATAGACCTGTCTGCTGTCCTGCTAAAATCACTTACTGTCGAATGTAAAATATCTACTTGTACAGTATCAGCATGTTTAGAACTACTGCTGTTTTGTAAACTGATGATAGTGATTTACTTTGTATTATTCAATTTAAAAAGAAATAGAGTTAAGCACTGGTTTAGAAATACAGCAGAGCCCTCCTATGAAATATGTATTTTCAAATCTCTCACTTGTTGTTATTGATGGTGATTCAATTCCACTATGAATTGCATTTCTAGTTTATATGCAGGACTGTTTTGGTTGAGAACATGATGAGTGCCAGGTTCTGCAGTCTTTACTTTGGCAAGACTCATAACTTTGAACTCAGCCTTCTGCAGGCAACATTTCTTAGGACTCGGCTCTGCTGAATGCAGCCCTGGGATGCCCAGGGTCAGTCTGAGACGGAGTCAGGACGCTGCAGCTTGCTCCTGGGATCTGATAGACCACGTTCAGCTCCTGCTGCAAAGTCACCTGGCACCTCTGAAAGATCAAGTCTTAGGAGACCTTTTGTAGCTTCTTCGCTAGCAACTGCTTCTTCAGCATTAATTTCAAACTGCCAGCAAAATACAATTAGTTTTGAGATGGCAAAGAGTTAATAATGCTGGCACAGAGCTTAAGGAGTTAAAACAGACACAGATCAAAATACTTCAGTGTCTAGAGGGATGTGTTTAAATGAACACTGCAAGGTTGGCAGGCCTCCAAATTAGCATAGTTTAAAGAATTCAAGGTACATTTAATTGGATCCTTCTAATCCCTTTTCCCTCAGAATGAGCATTTTAACAGTTTAATTCCTTTTGCAACCCCCACACATCTCTTACTCCAGTGGCCCATCTAAAATAAATGCTGTGAACTATAAAAGGCCTAGACAACTTCTAGCTGAAGTCATTGGGAACTGGATGGGGGCCGAAATCCACACGTTTGGATTTGGTTTCGCAGTTGCAGGGAATATCAGTTCTGTCTAAACCTTGCACCCAGCATGTCAAACCCCTGCAAGTATGCAAACAGCTTCAGCTGGTGGTGGTGTGGTGAGGAGCCGGCAGCTCATTAACACCATGGCTCTCATCAGGAGAGATGGAGTGGGGAGGTTAGGTGGCTGCCCCCTTTCCTAGGGCCTGGGAGCATCTCAGGGGTCAGGGCAGGAGGAAACAGCAGCTGGACAGGGGAAGGGGCTCACCGCTGTTTTCAGGAAGAGAAACCAGGACCAGTGCACCGTTGCCATCATGCTGATGCACACAAGTGAACAGAATCGTCTTTCACAGCAGCAGCACAGCAGGCAACACCTAGCAACAAAATAACTTACATAAATCAGGCAGACATATTTACTTTGCAAATAGGTTTAAGCTTTTAATCTCCCTTACTTATAGAAACAGTAACTAAAGATATGAAGTGGCTTTTGCTTATGCTTTTCAGCAGTATCCTTCCTTGCTGCCATGACTTTCTGTGTCGGGGACGTTCATTAAGTGTTGGTCAGTGACTGCAGTTGCGTTGTTGCCAGCCAGATTTAATATACTTCAACCTACTTGAATTATTAGTTGTTAACCACCAGGCTGCTCTGTGGTCACCCTCTTACTACCTGGCATGGCTCTTGTCCATTGTGTGCCATCTGACATTGCCAGTGGGCTGTTTGGGGCAGAGAAGCACTGTGAAATGCTGCTTAGGGAAAAGACTGGGCAACGGCTCTACTTATTTAACCTCACTTTTTTGGTAAATAGATCAAAACAGAATTTTAGTTTTCAGGAATTTGAAAAGTGTAATACAGCAAAGATTTAATAGATTTAATACCACTGTGTGCTAATAAAGACTTCAAAGCAAGTCCATTCATACATCAAAAGCAGTCTTGTTGATGTATTGATTAGGCTAATGTCAAGCAGATTATTAGAGTTGAGCTCTGAGTACTATAAAATGTCATTATTAGTTATTCTTTTATGGAAACAATTTCAGAACTGTTTCATTTTTTATGCAGATACAATCGTCTCCTCCAGCTGTTGCGCTAGTTTAGACTACATTGTCACATACCTCTTCAAGCACATAGCTAAAGAAGGCAAGAAGACCCTACGATGTAGAGAAATTTCACAGGATGGACAAAGATTGTTTAATTTCATGCAGCAGAACCCGGAAGTACTACAGCAGGTGAATTGTCAGTCTTCTCTGTGGGATATTATTAATTTTATAAATTTTTCTGATTTGTGGACCTTGTGGTACTGAATGCCAGGGTAGCGCAGGCTGTTTAGTAACAGAACAAATCTCCCTGGGCTGGTATGCAACCCAGAGCAGCTTCAGCTGTGTTCTCATGACAACCAAAGATTGAAGATATTTTTTGTCATACTGGAAAGCATAGATACTGAACTTGGCTGTACAGGATCTTAAAACTTTGGTTTTCATTTTTGCTCAAAGGATGCGGTATGCAACATCATCAATACATTTCTGTAGAAAAACGGTGAGGAACATTCTCTGCTGTAGAAGAACAATTTATGGCATTGAACCACAGACTTTGGTAATGAAATGTCTAAATTGAATGGTTGTATGCTATTGAGTGTGAATGTTTACTTTGCAGTAGGTGACTCACAGTTGGATTTTTCAGTTAAAGGTGAATACGATAGAAATTAAATCTCACTTCTGAAAAGGAAGCGGTCGCTGCAGTGCTTAGGAAAGATTTCCCCTTCCCAGCTCAGTCAAGTTTATTGTAGCCTGAGTACATTAAGAGGAGATTAAGATGATCTTAGCTACGTTTCTCCACATTTGCTCCATGCCACGTTCCCTTAAAATCTCATTAAGCTATTTGGAGATGCGTATTTACTAGACTCCTTGGATTCCTAATGCAGTTGCAAAGATGCCAGTTCAGGAGATGCATTTCGCAGGTCTGGAGGCTTTTAATGAAAACGGAAGTTATCAACAAAATGCAAATGATGAGTGTGGTCGTCATTCTGCTTCCCTAATAGATACGCTGTCATTTGGAAAAAAGCTGGCATAGTCACCTTCATCACGTGACCATTGTTGTCATTCGTTTACTGGTCTAATTGAAGGTGAAAAGTAACTAATATATTCTTGGCACTATATTGCATATTGGGAGAATATTAATGATGTTTATTATTGGCATCATTATCAGAATAGGACGATTCCCTTGTCATATTACAAGTGCTCATGTTTTCTCCCCGGCAGGGGTTTCACAGACACTAGCAGTGAAGTCAGTGTTTGGAAATTACTCAGCACTGCGCCGTGCACACTGTGATTTGGGCAGAAAGGACAGAGCAGCAGCCCAGGCGCTGGACTTGTCTGCATCTGTGGCGACCCTAACGTAATAGTTTGTCTGTTAATATGCAGTAATCTTTCACTTTACAGCATATGACCGGGCAGTGATCTGTCTTTATTAACTTCAGATTCTGCGGAATATGTTATATTTATTTTGAATGCAGGCTTTCACGTACTCTTTTAAATATTAATGGCCGGTCTCCAGTAGTCAGCATAAATATGATTTGCATTAGCACTAGTCATATCATATTGAGTGCCTCTGATGTCAACTGCTCAGCGGACTAATATCTGACATCATCTCCCGGGGTCACTGACAACTTTGACCTTTATTCTCATGCACAGTTTCTGTAGTCTCAGAAGCTCTTTTGAATTGATTTGAAATTTTGACTCTTCCCTTTATGAGGCAGTAAAATTGATAATTATTCAGATGGGAACTGAGCACTGAGTGAAAAATCAATTCCACCCGCTCTCTGCTGCGTATAAAATTACTTCTGAGTCTGCCGGACTGAACGGATGGCCAAGGTAAAAGCAGCAGGCAGAAATAGTAGAGAGGATTAGCTGGACGAAACTAATAGCCTAAAGGGATGGCTTTTGAGATGAGGGAGTGGGCCGGTTGGGGGTTATTATCAGCAATGATGGGACTCATTGATCATATGTTTACATCAGGTTTCCATTGGGTTATAAATCAGCCCTGAATAGAAGCGGAACCCAAGGCCTTGCATTCTACCAGAGGGACGATGTATTAGATTATTCTCATTTTCACACTCAGATGAAAAGTGAGACATTGATTATTCATCGGCTGGCCATTAAACACTGGTTTTATAGATGATTTGACTATCATGGAAGCTAATGAACAAGGTTGCTGCTTCATAACCAGCGGTTTCAGTTTTCAAGACATCTGTGTCGGTTAAGTAATGCATAACCCTATTAAAAGCAATGGGTTACAAATTGCTTAACAGTGCTGAAAAACTAGACCCTAATGACTAATTGTGCTTAGAGTTTAGAGGGGTTTGTCAGCTCTTTAGACTAAACTGATGCAATGATAACTGCAATTATTTACTAGTTAGAACATGGGGTTTTTCCACCTTGGATCTGCAGAAGTAGTTGGATGATGAAATTTCCAAGGGCACTCCAGGAATTGCCCTCCTCAGGTCATCCCGGTAGCTGAGGAGCTGCAGCACGGCTCAGCCCCGCCAGCTTTGCTCCTTGCAAGCAGCAGCAACCTCCGAGCTCACCTGTGAGCAGCCACTGGGGCCTTTCCCCAGGACATTTCACATCCTGCAGGCCGGGGGCTTCACGCTGCCCCTGCCCTGAGCCCCTCTTCGAGGGCGTGCGGGGCTGTGCTGCTGGAGGCCCTGCAGGGGAACCTGTTGGCTCCCAGCGGTGCCGTGGCCGTTCTGCCTGCAGGTTACAGCCAAGCCTTCGCTCACTGGTAAACGAGGCAATTCGGCGTCGGGATACGGCTCAGTAAATAGGTGTGTATCCGTGGCTGATGCTCACGTCTTTCTTAGCCCCTAGGGTAGTGGAGTTGTATAATTAAAGCCTATTAATTGATATTTTGTTTGCTTAGGTACATCCCACAGCAGCTCTGTGATTTATTTTTTTGCAAAAGTAGGTGTGACTGCACAAAGACAGGAGCAATAGGAAGCACAGAAGTGAAACAACTTTAAGGTTTAGGTGTAAGTAGCGGTGTCCTTCCAAAGCCAACAGGGGCTGCTGACTGCAGCCCTGCTTTCTGCTGTGCTCCCTAGGGCGAGCTGTTTAGTCCAAGCTTAATCTGCGAACAACTGCTTTGTGATGATGTCTTACAACTAAACTGAATTAACATGTGTAAAGTAATTTGAGATATATGGGTAGAAAGCAGTATTAAATGTATTACAGTCAGCTATTGCTGTGTTATAAGCACTTTCATAAATAATTTTAAAAGGCTCCCACTGTCATTTGCTGTTATTTCAGGAGCGACTTTCTGATGTCATCTAAAACAGCTCAAGCAAGTGTTTGCTCCACTCTATGAATGAAATTGTAATTTGGGGGTTTGAAACACTGCCTTTATCTTCCACTAATGCTCATCTTGTGGTGTTGTACACATCAGACTCTTAGTTTTGGTATGGAGAAGTACTGGATAAGCCCATGGACTTTTTTGCTTTAGTAAATTCAAATGCTGGACAAACATTTGTATTAGATCTGACCTGTGATATTCCCAGCCCAGGTGGGCCCGCAGCTGGGGGCGGTTGTGCTGAGCAGTTATTTTAGGGCTGTTGGTACGGGGCTGTGCCTGCTCTGAGCCCTTCTGGGGGCTGTGGGTGAGGAGAGCTGCAGTAGAGGAAAAGTGGCAGGGATTTGGGCAAGGATGGGGCAGGAAGAGGAGGATGTGCAGCAGCTTAATGCAGGCTGCTCGCTGGAGCTGGGCACTCGTGACTTCCAACTTCAGCAAGTGACAAAGGTGCACTAAATGAAGCAGCCCGGCAGCACTGCATAGCAAATGTAAAACAGAAAGTAAAGATGCCAGTTGCAATGAAAAATCAAGCATTACTAGTAAAATAAAAACATATTGTAAAGTGCCACCTTCCTTTTTTCCCTCTTATGCAGTAAAATCAGTTAGGGTTTTGTATTTCCGATAAACCTCGGTGCCATATACAGCTAGTGTAGAGCTATGCAACGTAATTGAAATAAAAACATCCAGAGGAGATGTGTTCATACTGCATCCTTCCTGGCCCTATGCAGAGAAACGTGCAGAAGCACTTGCGTATGAGCACATCACAAAAAGAAATCTGCATTGCACTGACAGAGGGCAGTTGTGCAAGGCGCTGAGTGCCTGAGCACCTTAAGCCACATGTTTGAGCATATGCTTAGTTTTAAGAGCAGATCGAACCCGCGGGTACAACTGTTCCTTTGCTTAAAATTAAATGTGTTAAAAGGCTCTGCTTATCAGGAGCAGAGTGCTCAGCTTTTGCAGGCTTGAAAGGTTTGATACGGCAGTGAAAGGGATTTTCCCTGGGACATCTGTTTTCAACCTCTTAGCACAATTTAGAAATATTATCCAATACTATCATAACTTTCTTTATTAATTGAAAGGGATGGAGATATACCAGCTGTAGCCCAAGCCAGCAGAGACTTGGGTGGCTAAGCAACAGAAAAGGCACCATATTGAGTGAGCCAAAATTCAGTCTCAAAGTCATTTATTTTAACCAGTGACAATACGTTGAGACTCTAGTGTTTCGATTTGATTGATGGTTTAATATCATATATAATTTTTTTAATGAAGGGAACCCATTTAAATATGTTAACATTTGCACTAGTAGTCTCCCATGTACATAACTGCATTTAATCATTACTCTGATTGTTTTTGTGGTTGTGTAATTTGTATCACCAAAATAACTATGTCAAAGTCATCTTATCTTCATGAAAAATAGGTTACTCTTCTGTACGTGCTTCTCACTGCACACGTGTAAAGGCGGCAGCAGCCTCCAGAATATTGCTAAACGTATAGCTTTCACTACATGAGTGCTGTCAATTAAGAAATCAAACAATATTAATGAGCTTAGTGTCTTTTCTGATCCTGCTTTGTTTAAAGCCCTGTTGTGATTCGTTGTCATGTGAATCGAGTAATTTGATTTTAAGACTTTTAATGTTAAAATGCATCATCATTAGTGATGTATCTGAAGATTTCACGCTCTTAATAATGGTGCTAAATCAAATTGGGCATCTCCTCTTAATCATTCAAGCTGTGCTATAGTTTACACAAACAGTTTTGGGGATGGAGAGAAGTTTAGGGCCACGATGTAACAAGTATTGTACAGAATTCATGCATGGAAACAAAAAGCTGCAATTCGGCTTGCAGCACAAACTGCTAGAGGTGTCAGTGTTGGATGTGCACCCTC